ATATAAATATAATTCTGGTTAATTCTCGCCCGTAGTTTGAATGGTTTATAAAGGCTCGCAAACTATTCAAACTGCTCTCGCATATATGTATAAAACCACCCTGACGCTGAAGCGACCACGCCCACCAGCGCTCCAACAGCCTCCCTCGCTTACACAACTGTATCGCATCAATTAAATATTTATTTGTTACACACAGTTCGAAAAGGCAACGGCAATCGCAAAAGCAGCTAGCAGCTGGCAGCTGTGGGCGCGAATGTTACGAGAATTTTCGCCATATTTGTGAACATCCATCTACTGAGAGATCGATCTGGTCGTCTGTACTATGCAGTGTGTATCGGCATTTTATATTGGTAGCATCCATTTATTTGGTCCGTTCTTTATGAGTTGTCATTAAGTTTCGTTTCGTTTCGTATCGGTTTTTGTGCTGGATAACAATAGACTGTGGCGTCATCTGGTCGAACGTGTCGCTCGCTGTTTGAACAGTTTGTTTACATATTTGTTTATTATTATTATTTGTGTATCTTTTTTTTTTTTTGTGAAATTTACTTTTGTAGCCATTTTGGCGCAATGAGCTCAGCTCTGCTAGGTTTCACTTTGGCTTATTGGTTCTAGAACGTTGTGAGCGCATCCGCGTAGGTGTATGCGGCGTATGAGTAATGTCTGTGTAAACGTTGTTCATACGCACCGTACGGGTGCATCAGAGCAGGTTGCATGGCTTTCAATTGCCTAATGGAACGTAACTCACTTCAATAGTGATCTGCGTCGGTGTACGAGGCGTATGATTAATACTGTTCGTTCATGTTGCGCATGCGCACCGTAAGCCCGCTTCACTCGTCAGTTACATGGCTTGGCATTACGGGCATGGTAGTCGAGTCAGTTGCTAATTGCACTTAATACGCCTCAAAATTTGTTTTTGTTTTAGTTTTTCGCTTGCCTCTTCCGCCGGCAGCTTTTACTTTTTCTTCTGTAATTGAATACAGCTGTTATTTTTTGTCCGGCTGCAGGTGTTGCCGCATTTGGTAAATTAATTTTGACGAGCTACCACGTCTAGTCCAACAGTTGTTCAAGAAACGTTTTGCATAAGCTAGGCCTTGCCTCAGTGCGGTCATAGCTCTTGCAGCAGATGATATATCATATGAAATATTTTTGCTCTTTTTATTTATTTTTGTTTCACGCGCCGTTGCTTTCTTTAAGTTCTAAGCGGCTTTCGGCGTAAACAAACCCATTAAGGTGTCCAACGTTGTACTCCACGCCGGTTCGACAAAGACCAAAAAGGGAAAAAAGGTTACCTGTGTTACCTGAGCACCTAATGAATTATTAACCTCTGAGCTGGTGTGTAATATGCGCCTAATGGCAGAGTTCGCTATGCCGTGGACTGTCCACCGACCAAAGAGCAGCAATCAGCTTCTTGCGAGGGTTACTCGGAGCACTTGGAAGTGCCGGCACTTCCTCATACACACACTTACTTCCCTTACTCGTTGTCATGCTCCAGCTCCTGCCCATGGTGCAAATCGAATTTGCTTTAAACAATTAAACAGCAATTTTAATCACACTCAAAGGGTTTCTGTTTTTTTTTTTTTTTTTTGCCGTCGTTTGTATTGTTGCTGCGCACACTTGAGTGCTTTTAATTATAACGAATGCGATATTGTTCTAAGCCACAGGCGAATAAATTAACGTGTCACTTGCTGAAACAGACACTCAAAAGCCCCTGTCCCAGCTTTTGTTTTTCGCAGTTATCAAACGCAGCACTTCAAAGTTCCATTTAACATGGTGCTAAGTGCTGCCCAGGCAACTCCCATGCAAATATTATTCAATCAGTAGTTACAGTGAGTTTACAGAGTTTACTTAATATAATTCTCTAGCAACATAGTTATGCAACAATATTACCCATTACCCTTTTATTATTATAAAAAATAATAATATGTTCTCTTCAGCTCTTCTTCATTTGATTAGCTTCATTGCCTCGTCAATTTTGTTTTCGTGCATTAAAGTCTGTTATATTTTATAGTTTAGCCTCTGTTGCCATACAAACCCAACACCAACCCATCATGGTCAGTTTTAATAAGATCTACAGAGCGTCGGCTACATGCCTTGTTTCTTCATCTTAGATGTGAATGTTTCTTCAATGTTTGCCATGAAGGAAACATGGATGCTTCTTATTCTCTGGAGATTAGTTTGACTGGCTCTATCTTAACATAGAGCTTATGTATATTGTACGATTATTGATCCTACGTGTCTCTCCCAGCCACTGTATCAATTTGTTTTGCAATGTCTTCGCGTATTTAGTTCATGGCTCATAGTTCAGTTTCAGCTCCAATATTCACCCGATATAATCCGATCGATTTGTCTGCACGCCATTTCGATTAATTCAATTAGCCTGTATGCCACGCCCCACAAAAAACGGCTCCCGATGCGTGTGGGTTGCATAATTTGTATCAAAACTTCGAGTAAAAAGACAAAAACCGAAAAATGAAAAGTCATTAAATTCGTAATTATATATATTTTGCTATTATTTATGGCTACTGGCCAAAAGAAGCAAATTACTTCAGCTCTTAATTGTATTTGGCCATATATGAAGGCTCTTTTCATAAATATTGTTTGGCATAAAGCACAAGGCGTAATTAAGTCGTTTTTTCGATCTCAATCTGGAGGGAGACACGCGGCAACAGTTGCCCATCTATTGAGCTGTATACAAACGTGGAAATATATACATATATCTATATCTATTGTTCATGTTCGATCAGTTAAGCAGACAGCAGCAGCAACAACAACGACAAATCACCAAAATCCAGACATCTTCAATTCTATATTCAGCGACTGCTTCGCCCGTTTGTTTACTCTGCGAGCCGTCGTCGTGCCGCATTTTGTTGTTAATTATTCAGCAAACAAATTATGAGGAATGCAGTGTTGGGGCATTGCGCGACTAGAAGATACCCACTCAATAGGATTTATTAAAATGTGTTCAGCTTATCATAAATCTGAACTTTCTGTACCTTCATTGATTATGGACAACTGTTGTTTTTCCCCATTGTAAACGAGCTGCCGCAATTTGCTTTTTACAGCATTTAAAAACTATTTTCCGTAATCGGTTTTCGCTTAAGTCAATCTGTCTTTATTTGTTCGCAGTTACATCAACTCTTTACACACACACAAGCGAAAATAATTTGTTGCTTCAGTATACCCTATATAAGAGTTCAGGTTAATTGTGTGTACAGTCTACAAATATTTGCAATTTACCGGCACTTTTCGAGTGCGCACTTTTTCGATAGCCGTAACGAAGCAGGCCGCAAAGCACGCCGGTGAACGTCAGAAGCCGGAGAACGTTTTGGCTGATTCGCAAATTTGTCGATTTAGTTGATTTCGCATTGACGTTTTAATAGGTCATTAAGATGGTTGCTAGAGTCGTTTGTCGGAACGGGTTTTGGTTAGAGCCTTCGAAAAGTTGATGGATCACCGCACAGATTTATGCTCAAAGATGCCACGCGTGTGCAGCGCGTTCGGGTGACATGTATCTGTTTATCTGACAGATAGTTAAGTATCTGTGCTTGACTGTCGACAAACTTTAAGTGTCTTTTGGGTATTTTATTTACGACTATTTTTGCGTATCTCTAAGATATTTAAATGTATCGACTGACGGTTGAATTTAAGTACCTTTGACTAGCTAGCCTATGCTGAGAGCTAAGCTGAAGTAGCTTATTGCCATAAGAGCATCTTTAACTGAGCCTATAAAGAGTATCTTAAATGTATTCTTAAATGTATCTTAAATGTATTCGAGTGTATCGTCTGTCGACTACATTTAAATATCTCTAAGATATACAAGATTTAAATGTCTATGAGAATATTTAGTATATCTGAATATCTTTGACTGATAGGCGTTAGCTGATGACAAACTTGAAGATACTTTAAAGATATTTAATCGTATTGTTAAGCAGCTTAAGATACAAAAGTATCTTTTACTGACTATTGCTGATGTGCACCTAAGCTTGAGTATCTATCAGATGCTCAAGTATCTTTGATGAACGTTTGCTGTCGCCTTAAGTATCTTCAACACGTATATCACACTCTTTAACTGCATGGAATACATTTCCAGAGTTAAATATAGTTAAGTTTATTACCCACCTGTCAAATGAGATTTAGTATCTCTAAATTGTCTTTCTTTGTTTGTCGTTTGGGTATCCTTTAGCTATTTTAGTGTCTCTTACTAGCCCGCAAACTGCTTTAACTCGACATACATATTAGTTATTTTGAAGATATTTTGAATGGACTTAGTTTGACTATCTTCGATTGGCTATCGCTGGACACAGCCGACTTAGTTTGGGTATGTCTTGCTGGCAGTCGAATCACCTTTAAGTTACGTATTAATATCTGGTCAAACCTTAAGTATTTTCGATTCGACATTCGAATGTGTCGTATGCATATTTATATTTTTAGCTCGGCTACGTTCACCTGTTCGACGCTGCTTATCGAACATTTATATAACTCGCTTAACTGTGCAATTTGTTAACTGCGCTTGCCCCAGCCCACGTCACAAAATACACAATACATCTATATATATATGCATATATATCGAGTTCGAGTTCGAGTCGGTAATTTTACCGGCTACTAATTGCTATTTGCACATTTGCGCTTTTTGTTGTTGTGCCGCCGTTGGCCGTTTGCCGCTTGCCGTTTGCTTTCTTGGCCAATTAGCTGGCCCGTTGCTTTGGCCTGAATATCAAATGAATATATGAATATATATATGTAATTTTCTGAATTATGGGATCTCTTCTATCCATCGCCCTTTGGCACTGCCCCCAATTGTGGCTCGTAAGTAGCTTAAATTATAATTTAATTTGCCTTCTCTTATTCTTGATGGCTCAGCATGCGCTCTTCAGGCAAACCCTATATATGTGTATATTTATTGTTTATTATTTATATTGTTGTTTTCTTATGCTCATTTGCCTGATATTTTTCTTTTCTTTTCTTTGCTTCCGTTATATGCTATTCGGTTTTATTTTTAGACACATACAGCATGAGTCGTGAAAGCGATGACAATTTGAGTTCGATCAATTCAGCGTACACAGGTAAATATATTTTTAATTACAAATACATTTTATTATCATTTTACGCATTTATTTTTACACTTGGCTGTGCTTCATCAACATATTAATGCCGTTCAATTAACACATATCGTGGCAGACATGCATAAATAAATCCATAAACTGGAAGCCAAAATTGGCGGCTCTAATCTATAACTTAATTGACACAATAATATAATCATTACGAATAATACAAAATTAATTTATGACATAAGAAATTGCAGCTAAGAATTTCCTGTCTTGCAAACATATATACATAAGTATCTTTTTTATCCCATCTTTTCCCACACTTTCACCCATGCAACTTGACCCCAATTTGTGAGCTGATCTATCGAAATGGCCGACCAATTGCTTGCTTAAGTATGCAGCAACTGTTTCCGATCTACAATTGTCAATTGGCGGCAAACAAAGCCCGTCCCCTGACACCGCGCGAAACGGCTTTCAGGCACTTGAATTAACTATAAAGTTAACTACAATTTTAATCGCTTATGTCCCCATAGAATGGCCTGTTAGGAATAGCAACTTCATTTTCATTAATCAAATGTGCCCGTACAATTGCTTATATATAGTTAGTTTGGTTGGGGTTTTTGCTGTTGCTGTTGCTGTTCGATTGCCCTTCTCAGCTGAGGTCTTTCCCGCATTTGAAATGCTAAACACGTTCTAAGTATATGCGTATAAAATTATACAAATTAAATTGTAATGTGAATTACGCGACTGACGAAAAACACGTTAAAATGCTGCAATCGACTGCACTGACTGCCTCATACTCGCCCAAAGTATAAGAAACTAAATTTGATCAAAATTAAGCACCATTTAATGGAGTTTCAGTTGCTGAAAACCTTAGGCAGCGTATAGAGAGTAGGTCCCATAGCAATATGCAAAACTTGGTAAGCCTCTCATTTTCGGGGAATCTAAATAATCAACTAAATTTTGCACCTAACCCTATATACTCGATTACCCCGTATGAGAGGGCATAGAAATACGCTAGAAATATCCATGGGGCGCTTGTTGAGGCGCTTCTACCGGTATCTCAATTAATTTTTTATTTAAGCCAGCTGCCTCGTTCACATTTTTTGGCATCCCTTGTTGTTGTTGCTAATAATAATAATAACAAAATTTATTGTATTGACATTTTACGAAAAACGCCTTCCAAAGTGGCCTGGCCGCTAGCGAAAACCTGAAAAATCAGCAAGATTCCAGCCAACAACAGCAACTGCGCCACATCTAAATACCAAAAATAACAACAACAACAACAACAAAAGCAAAAACTTGACACGAAACCAGTTTTCCATTTGGTGAAATTCTCAGGCGATCGCGCCAGGGCGTTTATTTAAATATTCTATTCTATTGAAAATACAATCAAAATACAAAAAAAGCTGGCGTTGAAAACATCAGCGAATATTATCATAGAAAATTAAATGCAATTAATTCTTTTTTTTCTATTTTTTTTTTACTCGGCTCATATGCACGCAAATAAAATTAATGGCAATAAAAGATTGTTGTATTTTGCAGGCAATAAAGTGAGGACTAACTAAGAGCTAAGAAGAACTCCATACATAGATTAGTATAGCCTTATAGAAAAATGTGATTAAATTAGAGTTTTCGGAGCTGCGTCTATCTTAAAAATAAAGTCAAATCAAAGATAAACTCAAAGTTGTTTGCGCTTTGGCAATGTGTGAAAGCTTCACTGTACCTGCTATTGCCCAAGGCATGCAACGGCGTTTAGCTGCTGTTTTGGAATGCGTTGGTTGGAGCAACAGTTATCAGCAGCAACAGTTGTCGGCAACAGCAGCAACAGTTGTCGGCATTTGCTGCTGAAAAGAGATTTGCATGTAAGCGCTGCCAAAAGTCATGTAAGTCGTGACCAGTGTGACCAGCCCGAGTGATTGTGGCGTGTACATACGTAGCGGCTAATCAGTGTGGGACGTAAATCGTTCAACGACCGTAGCCCCACTAACAGCACCCACTTGAGCTGGACACAAAGCTATTTGTAGCTCTATCTGTAGCTGTGATCGATTCGAGTTAGCTGCGACCTACACGCAACGGCCTCAGCTTGCAGCGACATGCACTTGCATTTGCACTCCGCTCAGTTTAGCTTAATTAAATGTTGTTTAATCATTTCAATAGATAATGAGCCAGCGACATGTTCTGCGGTGATTTATCGATCGAACATGCGAGCGCGCACGCCCGATCCGTAGCGATGCGCAGCCATAAATGGACGCGTCCATCCATTTGGGCCGAGTCGTGCGCTAAGTGGGTCGGCGATTTTTCAAATGCTCGTTCACAGTGGTGCATAGGAGAGTATATTGACTGTGCTGGAAATCAAAGTTACCAAAATGAAGCTAATGGTTTTTGAGTAAGCCTGTGGTACCATCAGCTATTGCAGCTATTAACTAAAAGTTATCAATATTTGAAGCTAGACAATCTCCGCTATAGATTTAAAGATGTGAGCGAGTATTATGCAGTCAGCTAGGCTCGTCTGTTTATTCTATTTTGACCAAAACAACATTGGGCCAGCGATTCGTTGTAGACGCGGCCGTAGACCCGAGGCGCCACACTCACTCGTTTGCTGCAGCAGCAACAGTAGCAGCGGCGGCAGCAGCAACGGCGGCAGCAGCAGCGGCGGCAGCAGCAGCGGCTGCTTTGATGGTGATTCATTCGGCGTAACTGTCAGATACATGAGTTCATTAGTGTAGACACTGAATGTCAACTGCAAGGAAATTGTCAACACACACACGCGCACACACACACAGCTGTATGTTTAGCGCTCGCTCACGTTTAATAGTTAACAGTTAAATGCTAAAAATCAACAACAACTCATATTCATATGCAGTGGAGCTGCAGTTAGCGAAGGTTCCAGCGAATGGCGTATTACTAAGCGACAAATAAGCCTTGAAGCTGCACACTAAACTAAATGTACATATATATATGTATGTGTATATATATATATATATATATATTTTTTTTTTTTTTTCAATTTCCATTGTAGAACAGCAGAAAAGACAGAAACTGGCGTCAAGCCAATTGTAAAACAGTTAGTTTCGCCCATTTGAACACAGTGAAAGTTGCCTTGGCAAAGAAAAAATCGGAAAATAAAAGGGAGACGTATTGTAGATACAGACATAGATACAGATACATCAAAGCAGATACAGATACTTGTTGTTATAATTAAAAAATAAAAATTGCAAGCGTCACGAAATATAATAGCAAATAATAACAAATTGTCTTGACTGGCCGGCTGGACGTCGCCAAATGGGGAGGAGCGAGGAGGGAGGAAGAGAGCTGTTATTTGTTGTAGCTTTTGAGCAACAATTGAACCTTGAAGCTGTTTGCCTCTTGTGCGTTTTATGGCCATGTCATGCTTGGCTACCGTTCGGGCTCAGCTCGAGTTGCCGTGCCAGCTGCACAGTAGCTCATTCCGTAGGCCTGCCTTTCGCGCATCTTTCTGATACATGCGCACATTGTGCACAGCGAAAGACGAAGATGATGGCAAAAAATGCCAATTTACGCTGACAAAAACACAATTAACTACACGGCGTATACGTCATGCTGTAAATTAAGCGGAAACCGAAATCGTGCAAATCACAAAAAGCAACAACTAAACATAAAATGTTTAAATTTGCTTTCTGTTTGCAACTAATTTTTTCTCCTCCTCGTCCTCCTCCTCCTCCTCTTCTTCTTTCTCTTCAGTCTGCTGCAATTTGTTACAAGCAAACGTTACCAAACTGTCGACAATTTAATTGATATATGCTTTTTCATTTTGACTCATGGAAATTTATGACAATTGATTTCGAAAGTCTCACGCAACTGAGCTCAGCTGCAGAGAATGTAAGAGTTCACTTTATGATTAGCCACAAAGTTTGGAATCTTTGACTACGATTCGATTGCAGAGTTCTATGACAGTTTCTTTCGAACTATATAAAGATCTTGGAAAGTCTCTTTCGTTGGCAGCTGCACCTTTCTAAAACCCAGAAAAACAGCACAAGTTTAGTTCGCTCACCGAATTGATTGTTAATACCTGCCTGCTCGACTCACCTGGAAAGTTCTTTCGCTTTGCTTGGGGCTAATCACTGATTAAACAACAAGAGCCGCAGACAACTTTAACTTTCACATTATAACAATCTGCAAGGCCCAACACTTTGGGTGCCGTTGTATATGATTAACACGAATTCGCTAATTATTAACTAACAGAGCTTCACTGTACTCCACTCGAGTGCTACACCCAAAGAGCATACGAAACTCTGCCCAATTCCAAATCCAAATCTAAATTTCAATTTCAATTAAAATTTAACATTTAACATTCATGTAAATCGCATGCAACAGCTGTGTAAATTGCAAACTTTTATATATGTATGTGTAACACGTTCGCAGATCTCTATCAAGAGACTGTTAAGCGCTTTACGCGCTCCTCTCTCTCACCCACATCCGATTGGGAACGCAGCTCGTTCAAGTCCCGCACCCCCACGCTCTCCGACAATGGACGTCGCCCATCTTGTAAGTCCGTTGCTCTTGCCATCGAGCACCTGCATGCCGTGTGCTGGATGCTGCTGTCTTTATCTGTAACTGTGCTTTGTTTACGTTTACGTTTTTGTTTCATTTTTGTTTTTGTTTCGGCTTAACCATAGACGATTATTATCTAGAGGCCACAGGTCGACGACGTAGCTCAGGTAAGCCAAAGAGCAGCTCACGAACTAATCTCCACATTTTGTATATGTATCTGAATAGATATACATATTTATTTTGTATGAAAATTATAGAACGTGTTCGCTTGCTAAAATACACACACACACACACACACACACACACACACACACACACATACACACATTACTCCATATGTCAGTTAGATATTTGCGCAGGTGGTTTATGTTTTATATATGAATCTATGCCAGTTGCTCGCACCTTAAACGTACTTTACCACGATCTCTGCTGGCTCTGTCTGTATGCAGTCTTGGTTGCAGACCCACAGAAATTGTCAAATTAACGGGAGTTAATGTGCCACTAACAGTACTTGGACGGCTGCTGACAATCGCAGTGGGTGTTCACTGTACAGATGCGCAAGGCCAAGCTGTCGACAGCTGTTGCCTCATTAGCTCATTGGCTATGACATAATTTAAATATTAGATAATATTTATCTGGTTTTATGTAACATGCTAAGCTTCAAGGTGTTCCACAACTGACGTGAATATTTGACTACAAACATATGTATATATATTTTTTATGTAGGAGATGGGATTCTGATCACAATCAGCGATATACAAATGGACGATTAGATTGAATATTTCCTCATATGATGAGCTTAAATTCGAGCAATTATTTGGTTGATTTTGTCTTTATTAGCCTGCAGCTTGGCTTTATATAAAACAGTTAATGTTGCTAACTCGTATAGCCATTACACAGTGTATTAAATAGAGCTTTCTGGGTTTTCGCAATATCTTTCTTAACAGACTATACGATGCTGCTTTCAACTAACTCGAATCAATTTTCGAAATTGCCTTTAGCCTTTACTTTCTTCTCTATCAGATTCAGATTCCGATTCCGATTCAGGTTTTTTCCCAGAGGTCCGCTCTACTGTAATCTGTGAAAAATCATAATGTACAATAATTTTGTTTTGCTCACTCATAAATGTAGCGGAGTGACTGTTTGGTTAGCCGGAGCCCCACAATTAGCTAATGCATATGCATAGCCGCGTATTTATTTATATCTTATTTTGAAGCAACTCAAACTTGACACCTTTATGCAGGCAGCCAAACGAACACCTCTTGCGTAGCACAGCGGCAAAAATTTGAAAACCTAATGATGAAAAATTCACAAAATTATCATTAAAAAGCCAAAACAAAGAAGAAAACAAGATGGGGGCATGTGGGCGATGTGCTTGCAGCCTTATAATAAATGAGTGGAGCAGCCGAACAATGCGAAAGTTATGACATAGCTCGCATGCATTTATTTATATTTGTATTATTTTGCTGCCTTTGTTGTTTGGGTAATTTTCCAGCGAATAAAAGCCATTTATCAAAAATCAACAAGTAATTTATTAAATTAAAGCCCCAATTTGAAGGCGTTGTCTCTTGCGGGTCTATGAAGTCATTTCGGTTCTAGTCTAGAGAAGATCTATTAAGTGCATTTGGATTAGAATTTTATATAATACATATATAATAACCAATATCCGTTCTAAGCGGGCCTTGCTTATGCGGGGGATCGTGTTGAAGTCATTTTTTGTTGTGCTTTATATGACAGCTTCAAATGGTTTTCATTGACTGCAAGCGACATATGCAAATTGCAGCTGAGCAATTTGCATATGACATCATATGCCAGTCTATGTAGTGTGTATAAGAAAAGCCACTTATAAAGAGGTTTTTATGGCGTGTAAATTGTGACTGAAACGCGACCCGAAACATTCAGCGCGCACAATCGAGATTGATGATCTGAATGAAATATATATGCATTATAATATAATATGAAAACAACAACAGCTGCCAAAACATTTAAGATCTATATGATAAGAGTATAAAAGTCGTAAAACGAGATGTGATCTGAAAGTACGATTGCACTGATATATTACTTTTCAAGGTTAATATAAATATTAGGGATTGATGATAATTAAGTGAAATATATGCAATAATATGTTGAGAACATCAGCCAAATGTATCATCACAAAAGAAAGTGTGTTCAAGGAGTAAAGTAATTCATCTTAATATAAGTAATATATATCAGATATCCCGTTTTCAAGAAACTTTTTCGAGCCCACCTCGTATAGTATAATAAATGAACACAGAGACAGAGAACAATAATCTATATACTATATAGTAATGTGTACTCATATGAAATAATTCATATAATTTCAATAAGAATACAGCCAAATCATTTTAGGATCGATGATGTATACATTGCATAACATATGATGCTCGTCCATTCACAGATCACAACAGCACCGTGCTGACAGCCAACACAGAGCAGTTCATAATTGGCCAACGTGTGTGGGTGGGCGGATTGCGGCCCGGCCAGATAGCCTACATAGGCGAGACACACTTTGCGCCCGGCGACTGGGCAGGCATTGTGCTCGATGAACCGAACGGTAAGTTGGTCGACAGTTGGCACTCGCTCTAAAGGCTGGCTTCTCTACAATGGCTCTTTGCTGGCTTGCAGGCAAAAATGATGGCTGTGTCTCGGGCAAGCGTTACTTCCAGTGCGAGCCGAAGCGCGGCATCTTCTCGCGCCTCACACGTCTCACCACATATCCGCTGTCGGGCGCAGTGACGCCCACCTCGCCGCTGTCGAAGCAATCGCCGGACCGCTCGCGCACAGTTTCGCCAACCGCCAGTCTGCGTAGCTCCATGCTGCGCAGTCCGGGCACGGGCAGTAAGTAAAGCCAACGGCACAGTGTGAAAAGATCTCGCTAAACTGCCATCCTTTGCAGAGAATGGTCTGACAGTGGGCGACCGTGTGATTGTCTCATCGGGCTTCGGCAGTCGTCCGGGCATCTTGCGCTACCTGGGCGAGACACAGTTTGCTCCTGGCAACTGGTGTGGCGTCGAGCTGGACGAAGGCAGCGGCAAAAACGACGGCGCTGTCGACGGCATAAGGTGAGCAGCTCGCTTATTAAATGAGGTTCTCTTTGGGACTCTGTAAACTAATGTCCACTCTGTGTATTTTAGATATTTTGAGTGCAAACCGAAGTTTGGAATCTTTGTGCCGATTGCCAAGGTTTCGCTATCGCCATCGTCGAAGAAGTCGCGTCTCTCGCGCGCCGGCTCGCGCGAATCTCTCACCTCGATTGGCACCATGAACAGCATAGCCACGACGAACACGTCGCGCATACGCATGAATGCACAGGTATAAGACGGCCCTGCAACTGCAACTGCAACAGCAACAATATGCCACATGCCACATGTTACACACAGTCTTAGTTTACCCTTTTTGACACAGTTACCTGCCACAGTTATGCTGTTATCTATATATTTATGCCTAATACTGTTAATGTTGACTGTAAACTGTTGACTGTTAACGTTTTTACTAACGCGTTATAAACTCTAATTCTTAATCCCCTCCACATGCAGCGCAAGTCGAGCACGCCCATTCGGTCTAATGTAACGCCGCCGAAAAATCAGTTTTCCATGCAGGTATGCAAAATCAAAAACCAAAAGCCTCTATATGTGCGCGCGCTGTTAGTTAACATGCACGCCACTGTACCCGCTGTAAAAGTCGCTTGAGCGTGTGTCTGTGTGTCCATTGACTACTACTACTAACTTATGCTAACTTAGCCCCTAAGCGTGCCACTAACTCTAAACTCGATCTAACCTGGCCAACTAAAAGCGACACCGCTGTACAAAACAATATTTATAAAATATAAACCACTCTACATGCACCCCTTTTTGGCTTATCTTATTATATGTATCTCTGTGTTTTGCTGTGTTACCTTTCGATTTTCTCTTTATTATTTTCTACTCGTACACCTGTTGCATAATAAACAAAATGTTCGATACCAATATCTATTTTAGGTGCACGCATCACTGTGTGTGTCACTCTACATATATATGATATATATACACATCTATATTATATACTCCTTCTATTGTATTTCTCGTTTTGATATGTTACGCATGCGCACAAAAATTTGTTTGCCTTTTATTTATTATTTATATGTTTGGGTTACCAGCGGCCTCCGATCGTACGTTTGCCTCGCGATAAAACTGCAAGACTATAAAATTTAAGAAAAATATATAATAAAATATATGTATTCAAGGATTTATAAATATTTTTAAATAATTTGTCTATGTAAATAATATATGTCATATGATGTATGTAAAAATATTTCTTCTAAATTTGATATACATATTTAATTTGTATTTATTTCTATTTATTTATTTCTTTACATTAACATAATTATATATGTATATGTATATGATTCTAAAATATTTAAATGTTTTTAATTTAGTTTTAGCTTTCTGAATTCTTTTCTTTTATATAATATATTAATAATAATAATTGTAATGAAATTATTTTGTATATATTTAACTTAAATTTCATAGTATTTATCTAAAATTTAATATTGCTTACATAGTCTTGCAGTTTTATACGTCTAGATATATATACATATATACACATATATGTATTGAATACTTTTGTGCATTTATTTCGTTCCACTTTTAACTAATGTATGTGTTTACTACACACACACACATACACTTATGTACACACTATGATATTCTCTACTTGTTACTCATGCGCTTATTATGCCACACACACACACACACACACACATGTACACACATTCATACTCACACACATACATTCTCTCTCCCCCTCTCTTTCTCTCTCTCTCTCTGTGTCTCTATGTGACTTGCAGGATCTGCTGCGCGAGAAGCAACACCATGTGGAGCAGCTGATGGTGGAGCGTGATCTGGACCGGGAGGATGCACAGAATCAGGCGCTGCAAATGCAAAAGAACATCAATGAGGTAATTATCTTCACCGACACAATGTATATGCCGCTGCCCTATGCGGATCGCAGTCGGCCATTTCGGTTGCGGCCGACGAGCCACAGCAGCAGTCGCATCACAATAAGTCCAACAACGGCAGCAACAGCAACAACAACAACAACAGCCAGACAGCCGCTGCAACAACAACAAGTACAGCAACAGCAGCAACAGAAATCGCGTTCCGATAAACCAAAGAAAGTTTGGTTTTGCGATAAAAAGAAACTATTTCCAGTTGGCTAAAGTCCGCCAAAAGAAAAGCACTCGATGTTTATTCAGCTCAGCTCTGAGTGTGTTTACAATCTTTTTTAAATTTTTTAGCAGTTGCAATTCCAAAAACCAAACAACAAAAAATGAAGAGTATAATCACCTATACACGCCCACTCGCCCCCCACACACACACCCACATTCACTTGTGCTGAAATGTTTAAGCATTCGTTTTTCTTCACTTGGTTGGTTTTCTTGTGTTTGTGTTAACCATTTTTCATTGTCCTTTATTGTTTTTGTTTGTGTTTACCTTTTGTTGCTCTCTTCTCTCGCATTCTCTTGTGGTTTGTCAATTTTTACACACACTTAATTTGCGCACGTTAACTATGTTGTTCAATTAAAATTCTCCCATTTTCCACTCACACTGAAAAAGTACAAAGATTAAGTCGGGCCTGAAATTTTCCACGTTGTTTCTTACTCGGCCAAGGTTCATGCGGGTTCATAATCTTAACAAGGCGCTAACGAGCATAACAATTTGAAATCTATTAGCATTTTCGGCAAGCTCCCATTAATGATTGCCCTGGTGTTAATAAACTCTTACAACATTTGGGCTACTTAGACATGAGCTTTATTTAAATTCAAAATTGGCTTAGGAATTCCTCAATTTCTACTAGATTTAAAAAAAAATATCAGTATTTTCGTTGGCTGAACTAAAAATTGGTTTTTATAAACAAAAACCAACACACATCATTTGCCATATCAAAAATAACAAAAGTATTATCAGCTAATCTCATTCATGGTGTTAGTTTAACAATCTCATTTATACAAATTTATATCGATTGAAAGAAAGAAACGAGCTTTATTAAACAATTAGGCAGTAAGCGTTCATATGCTTAAATTATTTAATAATAAACATATACTCGTAATTTAAAGACTTTCAAAATTTCCTTTACATTTTCACACCTAACAAATATTTTTTACTCATCAACTTGGTATACATTATCACACCTGCTCAATACATTTACGAAAGTAGTTAGTTTCATAGTGAATAGCAATTTGAAAGACTCTTCAATTAACACACATTTGGAACATTTTGAAACTATTTAAATATTTGCAATTAAATTTAGCACAATTCGTATGCATAGCTGAGACAGCTTGGCTGAGGATAGAATTATATCTGATTTGGGGTCTCTCTTTTCTCTTGTTATATGCTTTGATTTGCAACTGTTTATCTGTTTGTCTATACTTTGTTTACTTGAATAAAATTGAAGTTACGTTCTTATATCTATATTCTCTATGCTCATCACATATGCTATATATACTTGTTATAAATGTCGTGCGCACTTTGAGTTGTATTTTAGAAATTGGCAAAGCAAAACCCAAAACATATCATCACCCAATCCAAGCAACCAACCACAGTTCTAATACCTTGTTGCTCTTTTTAACGCAAAACCAAAAGACAAGCAAAAATCAAACAAATCGATCTATCAAAATTCTCAATTGTTCAACGACTTTTATGCACCACTGTTCAATTTTTATAGCAACTGCTGATCGAGGCGGAGCGCTGGAGGCGTCTGATAGCTCGACATAGCATTCGACTGGCCGATCTGAGGCGCGAGTTCCGTGGCTGGTCGGGCAAGCACGAGAGGCACTGTATACTGCACAGTGTGCTGACACCGTTGCGCATCAAGTGAAAACAAACGGGATGCTATTGAAGTTTATATAGGAGAAGGCTGCACAGCGTTTTAAGCTGCAAGAACCAAAAAATATTTACGATATCTTCTATCACAAAGATGAGAAACAAAAAAACTAAAACATGAGCCACAAAGCCCAATTGAATTTCATATTTTCTTCATGGTTTCTATATATTTTACTGAAGATAAAAGATATGCATATATAATACATATATATATACTTGAAAAATGGAAATTGGAAAAACCTGTATAAAATGGATTTTATGAAAGCGAATTTTCTTGCTGTTTGTCTAGTTGTACGATCTACGATATAAAAAGAAAACATTTTTACGAAATAACATACTTAAAATACATTACGATATCAAATATACGATATACAAATATTATTGCAAAGCATTTTGCTTAAACACTTGTTTTATTTCTTTTTTGGAAATTCGTTTCTAATTCGTTTTTTTCTGTTGTTACTCGATCTCCTTCTCTTCGGTCGCAGCTCAAGTTACGGATTTCACAATTGGAGTCGCAATTGAGCGACGAACGTAAGAAATCGGAGGAATTGCAATTCACCATAGATGAGGCACAATTCTGTGGCGATGAAATGAATGTAAGAGCTTTACGAACATTTAGGGATGTGCATTAACTGAAAAGTGTAAATATGAGTTTAGCGAGCGCATAGCTTAACCGTATGAGAAGCGCGAAGTAAGGCGATGTAATTGAATTACAGACATATGTATGTAATGTATAAGGATTGCTCATTGCCTAGGCGTATGAGAAGGCTTATAAGTAAGGAGTTTGTAATGCTTCGTTCAGCAAGATTATTGGCAGTTCGTTTTCGATTTGACTCTTACATCTAGCATAGCTCTTGCTACAGTATACAAGTACATGAGTATATGGCTCATAGTAAGGCTCTGTAATAGAGTATATTTTTAGCTTTGAGGGTTTTTGGCTCTCCAGACTTTTCACTTTCCCATTTTCATATTGAGCCAAGCGCCTAAAAGCTATGACCAGACATATCAATGGTAAACTGTTAAGCTTTTGTGCTCGCTCTGAGCAGCTAAATAATAAAATAACAATAACAAAACATTATCAATAAGCTTTCGCTATAAGTTTGAGCATATGCTGCTCATTGAGCTTCAATAAAAATACTAAAACAATAAAACGAATTCGATCAATCATATACAAATGCTACCGTTGATAAAAAGCCGTAATTTCTTGAAAAGGAATTACAATTTAACTTTTATGGGTTTATTGGGCTTATTTAGCTCATTCCTTCTAAATTACCTATTTGTATTTATTCACAAAGTTTTGAAGTAAATTTTTAAGAATGTTGGACTGTAGTTAAATATTTGCATAATTATTTTATATTTTTTAAGAAAAGTTCATGTAGAATGCTTAATAAACAAAAAATATTTATTTCCAAAATCACGGATTACAGATTTATGATTGATTAATTATATTGAGAGAGCTTAACAATCAGTTTTAAGATTCGAAGCCAGCCCTGAACTTATTTAATAGATTACTATGCCTGTATGATAGGAGCGTGGAGTGATTGAAATATCGGCACTATTGTGGATTCAGGGTATCACCTCCAAGTCCAGAGACATTGTTTTAAAATTCAGTCAATGCACATCTAAATTAGCACAAAATGTTAGTCCAATTTATTAATTCGATTTTCCCTCGACGCAGGCTCAATCTCAGGTGTATAAGGAAAAGATACAGGATTTGGAGAAGAAAATCACAAAACTAGTTTCAGGTATACGAAATCTATAGCAAATTGCTATTCTGCTCTCTCCTGCTAAACACTTTTTGCCTATCCACAGCCACGCCCAGTTTACAGAGCACACCTCCCGTGGAGGAGAGCGCTGCCTTGGCCAATGCCCAGTCGCTGATTGCAGAGCTGCAGGAGAAGCTAAGCCAACAGGAGAAGCTGAACGAGGCTCGGCACAGCGAATCCCTGGAGGAGCAGCAACGTTTGCTCGAGAATATCAACTATCTGCAGAGGCAGAACGAGACCCTGCAGACAGAGCTGATGGCCAAGGATGAGAGTCTGGAGAAGTTCTCACTGTCTGAGTGCGGCATCGAGAATCTGCGCCGCGAACTGGCGCTGCTCAAGGAAGAGAACGAAAAGCAGGCGCAACAGGCCAAAGAGATCTTCGAGCAGAGGCTAGCCGAGAAGGCGGAGCAAGTGAGGCAGCTCACCAAGGAGCTGCACGAAATCAAAAGCTCCTCCGACACGCTGGAGAGCGAGCGAGCGCACGTTACCGATGAGCTCGAGATTCTGCAAACGGAGATTCGCATGAGAGACGAGCAGATCAAGGAGCTAAACCAGCAGCTAGACGAAATCAGTACACAACTGAACGTGCAGAAGGCAGACAGCAGTGCGCTGGATGAGATGCTGACGGAGCAGCAGACGCAAAACGTGGACAGCAAAACGCTGCTGGAAGAGCTGCAGGCGGCGAATGCAGCCCTGGCCAAAGAGAAGCTGGAACTGCAGCAGCAGCTGAACGGCTTGCAGGAGCAACTGCGAGCGAGTGGCGACAGCAACGCTGTGCTACAGAAGCAGCAGAAGGAGAATGCGCAGCTAAAGGAGGCGAAGGCAGCGCTAGAACAGCAGCTGCAACAGGAATCGGAGCTAGCGAAGGCGAGCAGAGCAGAGGCCGCTGCGAAGGACTTGCAGCTGAAACAACTGCAACAGCAGCTGGAGGAGCAAACCAAGATACATGCGCAGCTGGTGGAGAGCCAGGAGCAGCTCAAGCGGGAAAGAGCTGCAGAGCAGAGTCAAGCGAGTGAGAGAGCAGCAGACTTGGAAGCCGCACTGAATGCCAAGCAAAGCCAACTGGAGCAGCTGCAGCAGCAGCTGATGGAGCAAACCCAGCTGTATGCACAGCTAGTCAAGAGCCAAGAGGAGCTGCAGCAGAAGCACGCTGCAGAGTTGGGTCAGGCTAGTGGCAGGGCAGCCGACTTGGAAGCCACTCTGAAAGCAACGCAAACCCAATTGGAGCAACTGCAGCTGGAGGCCACAAAGAGCGGAGAGCAGGGTGCTCAACAACTGGTCAAGCTTCAGGCAGAGCTCGCTCAGCTGCACGCCAAAGAGAGTGAAGCTCAGGCCGCCTTAAGTGCTCGTCTTGCGGAGCTGGAGACGGCGAAGCAGCAAGAGCAGACGCTGCAGGCAGCACTGGCAAAGACGAAGGAAGAACTTGCAACAGCCCAAATGCAGAGCATCCAAACTGAGACGCAGCTGAGAGCCAGCGCTGAGCTGGAAATAAGCGACTTTAAGCGCCAAAATGCAGCTCTGCTAGCCAAATGTGAGAGCCAGCAGCAGCAGCAGGAGAAGGTGCAGTCGGAGCTAATGGATGCACGCACGAGCACCACGCAGCTGCAAGAGACCCTGAAGCAGCTCCATGGAGAGCTACAAGGCAAGCAGCAGAGCTATGCAGCGCTGGAGAGCGTCAGCAGCACTCAGCGCTTGGAGCTGGCGAGCGACAACGAGCTGCTGCAGCAAACGAACGCGAGGCTGGAACGGGAGCTCAAAGAGCTGCATCAGAGTCTAGAGAAGAGCAAGTCCGAGTCGGAGCAGCGGCAGGCGCAACTGGTGGAGCACGCGCAGCTAGTCATACAAAAGGATCTCGCTCTGGGCGATGCCGGCAGGCAGCGAGAGCAGCTTGAGGCGCGCTGCCAGTCGCTGCAGCAGCAGCAAGAAACGTTGCAGCAGCAGCTCAACAGTCTGCGCAGCAGCTCGACGGACTCAAACGCGGAGTTGTTGAAGCTCTCGCAACAGCTGCTGGAGCAACAGCAAACCAACGAGCAGCTCAGCACAAAGAGCAGCGAGGAGCGTGGCGCACTCGAGCGCCAATTGCAAGCGAGTCAGCAGCGCCTCGATGCGCTCTGTGGACAGGTAGAGCTGCTCACCAAGGAGCTCGCCAGCAGCACGGAGCAGACAGCCCAGCTGCAGGGCAAGCTCAAGACCGAGGCGGAGCTGGGTGCCAAGCTGGCGTTGGAGCTAAGCGACGGCCAGCGCAAGCTGGAAGCGGCAACAGGCAAGTGCGAGCAGCTGGAGCAGCAGCAGGAGAAGCTGCAGCAGGAATTGAACAACGAGCGGGCTGAGAGTAGTGAACTGAACTCCAAGTTAAAGCAGCTTGCGGAGCAGCTGAACGAGGCACATAAGAAACTAAGCTTGCAGAAGGATGAAAGCAGTGAGAAGTGCCTACAACTGGAGCGGGAGCTCCAACTGAGCCGGGCGACCATGAGCGAGTCCCAGACCAACGAAGCAGCAGTCAGACAGCAACTCAGAGCTGAGCTTGAGCAACGAGACCAGCAATTGAAGCAGCTGCAGGAGCAGCTAAGCGGAACCCAGGCAGCCAACGAAGTGGCTCTCAAGGAGCTGCAAGAGAGGTTGGAGATAACCAACACTGAGCTCAGACACAAAGAGCAGCTGGCCAGCGAAGACGCCCAGAAGATAGCGGATCTGAAGACCCTGGTGGAGGCCATACAGGTGGCCAATGCCAATATATCGGCGACCAATGCAGAGCTCTCCACTGTGCTGGAGGTGCTCCAAGCGGAGAAGAGCGAGACGGCGCACATCTTCGAGCTCTTCGAGATGGAGTCGGACATGAATGCAGAGCGGCTGATCGAGAAGCTGCAGGGCATGAAGCAGGAGCTACAGGACACGCACAGCCAGCTGGAAGCCCAACAGAGCAACAACAAGGAACTGGAAACCAAGCTGATCGAGCTGCAAAAGAGCGAGCAGAGCTTACAGGGCACAGCCATTGAAGCCGCTGAAGAACTGCGTCAGCGGCAACAGGCCAACGGGGAACTAGAGGAGGCACTGAAGCAGAGTCAGGCCCAGCTTGCCGAGACGCAACAGCAGCTAGAGAGCAGCCAAAGCCAATTTAAGGCACTTCAAGAGCAACTGCAGCAACTCCAGCAGAGCGAGAAGCAGCTCCAGGCGAAAGAGTCGAAATTGAACGAGCAACTGCAGCAAATGCAGGAGATCAGCGCAGAGCAGCAGCAGGTGCTGCTGCAGAAGGAACAGCTGCTGCAGAAAGGCAACGAATTGGACGCCCAACTCTTGGAATACCAGAAGGTAATTGATGAAATGGATGAGGCCTCGAAGGAAAAGTCTGCAAAGCTGCAGCACCTGGAGAAGCGCATCAAGGAGCTGGAACTGGCCCTGCACCAAGCTAAGGAATCAGAGCAGCAGACGCACCTGGAGTGCCAACAGCTGACGCGGAAATTGCACTCTCTGGAGCTTGAGGAGGCACGCGAAATCATGGCAATGCGTGCTCAAGCCAATGGATCCACCACCAGCTCCAGCAACCCAGGTGCTGAGGTAAGTCTTTGGGTGTCTTCTAATCTTTCCGATTCACTCTTTCACTCTCCTCTTCAATAACACCCGCAGCTGGATACAGAAACCAGCCTGGCCAAAATCAACTTCCTGAACTCAATCATAGCTGATATGCAGCAGAAGAACGATGCGTTGAAGGCCAAGGTGCAGACGCTGGAGACTCTGCCCATAGACTTTACCAAGTGAGGCATACTATTCGATAGATTCTATATGTGTTTTCTGATGATTCCCTCTCCGTAGACCCCACGCCTTCGAGATGTTGAGCAAACGAAAGCCCGCTCCGCGTTTGTTCTGTGATATCTGTGATGAGTTTGATAAGCACGAAACGGAGGACTGTCCGCTCCAAGCTGGCGATGAGCGCGACTACTCGCCGCCTCCTGCCGAGGCCAACAACAACGAGAAGAAGGAGCGAAAGCTGCCAGCTCCACGCAAATACTGCGACTCCTGTGAAGGTAAGCGATCGATCCCCATCTCGACATAGACATATGTATATTTAAATGCATTCAATTTTCTTTCAGTTTTTGGACATGATACGAGCGAGTGCGCCGACGATGAGACCTATTAGAACACTAAGCTAAACTAAGTTAATTTTGTTGGTTGTTGAAACACACGCAAACGTATTTTTATAATCTTATAATCCGCGAACCTTAAAGCCTATTTACAACATTTTATACCTCTTCGGATGCTGTTTTCATGTTTTGCACGAAAAATTCTAATTAAAATTTGATTGTGTTTACTTGTTTTGTGTATAGGAAATTTAATATTTTGAATCTGTTTTTAATGCTTATTTATTTATACAAATAGTGAAAATTTACTTCTATTGTATCGCAAGTGTTTTGTAATAATAAATGAGTAAACTAAAACTAGTCGCCGCCTTCTTTCTTCTCCTTGATGGCATCCTGCAAGCAACAAGCAATAGATAAATAAATACATGAAAATCACGTTAAGTCTGAACAAATTTCGGATAAACAACATTTAAATAATCTACATTTAACAAAGAGTTCACTTTTATTTTGAAACCCGATAAGTGTTCAGACAGCCCTCGCATACTCACTTTAAATCTCTCCTCGAAGAGCGACAATTCTGCAAGCAGGTCCGTTATGGCATTCATGAATGCCTCCTGTGGTGAATAATCCGCCGTCGTCTGTATCCGAATAACGAACTTGTGCTCAAGCGGATGGGGCACCTTATAGCCGGCAAAGAGCACGTTTGGATCCTTCAACAGTTGGCTGTTGAGCATAATTATTAATGACTGCACATAATTATGAGCGGCTTGGCATACTTGCGAATCATGTTGCCTAGCGTGTGATCCTCCTTGTTTATGGTGAAAATTGCGGCATTTGTCACCTTCGTGTCCAGTTCCTTGATAATTCTGCAAATACATCGTCAAATGCGAATCGCAATAGTTTTTAAGCAGGCTACTTACTTTTTCTCGCCTTCGTAGAGCAGAAACGATTCAAATGTGGGTGGGGCATTCATTTTGTACTTTATTTACAAGCAAATCCAATACAAATAAAAAATGTTGTTTATAAAACAAAATCAGTCGTTCCACAGAAAATGCAATGCGCGAGTGTTGTATAAGATGCGAAACACTGCCACACTTAGCAACACTGCTACTATCGATAATTCATCGTATTTCTGGCGATAGCACTGACCAAATAACAGTGGCGATAATTATGTTCAGCGATGTTAGTGTTGCAAATACGCATTTAATTAGGGAGCATTACTAGTTCAAAGATATTCAAATATGCACAGAGAAACAATATTTTATATTGTGGAATGATATATTTTAAGTAATGTGAACAAAATTAAATTTGTGCCCCTTATACAAATACAATATTGCTACAACTACCACTGTATGCGAACAAAATCCGATAAAAGCGCTCAAATGAACCACAGCTGATAAAATTCATGTCTGGTTTCGAACTACTACTTTGCAGTTTTTTTTTGCGCCAAACAAGAGCGTTGTCCTTTAAGAAGTATAATAAAATTAGCTGCATATTGCCTCTGTAAAAATGAGCGCAGCAAACAGTGCATCAGTTAACGGTGCTGACGTGGATGAAGCGAATCCACTAGAGCAATCGACCATAACAATGCTCGATGTACTTGAAGAAGAGAAAGAATTGGAAGAGGAGTACGCCGCGGTGCTTGGTGGATCCGATGAAAAGGAGTGCACTTATGCCAAAGGCGCCATACAGCGCCAGGCACTCTACTCTTGTCTCACCTGTTGCCCGGAGGCACGCGACGATCCAAAGAAAAGCGCTGGCGTATGCCTGGCCTGCTCCTATAAATGCCATGAGAACCATGAGCTGATCGAACTCTATACCCGGCGTAACTTCCGCTGCGACTGTCCAACGCTGGAGAAGCGTTGTGCTCTGAATCCTCAGCTGGAAGCAATGCAGCCGAAAAATGAAAATAATCTGTATAATCACAATTTCCAGGGCGTGTACTGCAAGTGCAAGCGACCCTATCCCGACCCAGAGCGCACGACCGAAGAAACAATGCTGCAGTGCGTCATCTGCGAGGACTGGTTCCATTTGCAGCATATGCAGGCGCCAGAAGGATCGGATAAACTGTCCAACGCCTGCAGTGAAATGATTTGTGACTGTTGCATGGAGCGTCACGAGTTTCTACGGGACTACAGCGCCCTTGCCTTGCAGCCAGCAGCTGCGGCCAAGGAGTCCGAAATAGAGGAGGTAAACGTGGTGGACAGCCAGCCGACCAAGAACGAGCAACAGTCTGAGCAGCAGTCGGAGCAGCCGGCCGAGAAACGCCTCAAGCTGAGCGACGACGCATGCCGCCGTCCTAAGTCCTCAAAGGAACACAAAGGTGAGTCGCCAAGCAAGCGTTTCTAGACCATATCTGCCAGCAACACGAAATATATATATTATTAACACATTTCAATACATAAAGAGCAAATCAAAGTTTTTGCGACCGTCGCCCAGGTAGACAAAGCCGTGCTTGCGTGAGTTCAGCTTGTGGAAGAAGGTCATGCCCAACCAGACGCAGGACTTGATGATTGCGATGCGCTCGTTGCGCTGCATGTTCAAGGTGAAGGCCTGGTTCAGCGGAATCACGCCGTCGATGGTGTCCAGAAAGTCGATGGCATAATTGTAATCGCTGCGCTTCGACAAATTCGTCTTGAGGTCGTTACGCGGCAGTCGATACAGCTGGTAGTAGGAGAGATTTTCGATTTGCAAGTCGTTCAGACCGCGAAACATCTGATTGGGTATGACGCGACCATCGACCATCTTATAGAGGGCTCCGCGCGGGCAAATGGCGCTCTCCTCGCTAATGATGAATACTATAGCAGCCAGACGTTCTTCCTCCTTCAGCTTGATTACCTCTGGGTTGCTGATGCTAATCACTTGATTGGCCACTATATTAAATATAGGATCCTAAATTGATTGAAATAAGGGATGAGCTGTGTCACCGCATCTCTGTATCTCGATCAACGTACCAGCTTAACGTAGGTCTGCAAACTCGGATCCCCAATAAAGGGATCGGGTGCGAGGACCGTGGCCTGAAAGATCTTCGGGCTCTGCACAAAAGGCAACAATTGCCATTGGTACTGATCGACGCTATAGAAGTACTTGCGATCCTTCAGACAGTCAGTTGTGTAGCCGAAGGCAATGTAGTAGTCATTCTTAATGGCCGTAATACGTCCCCAGAAGTACATGCCCGAGAAGCGGTTCTCCTGCAGCAGCACGATGAGGGAGTTCTCAATCAGGATGCGCTGCTCCGGCGATAGTTTCCGGCCGCAGTACATCAGGCACTCCAGCCCCTCCGAAAAGTACTCCACATTCATGTTAAGCGACTCAATTTATAAATTAAAATATAATAGTTGTATTTAGAAATGGTTTATGGAGTGTTCTGGCCCCGTTTCCTGAGCTGAGCTCTAAACTCATACTAACGTAATATCGTTTGCTTGAACAGGCGCCGCCTTCTGGGCCAACGACTGGCGCAAGGCGCTTTGCCGTTGCGACAAGTGCTTGGAGCTGTACAAGGAGCAGTCTGTGGAGTTTCTGCTGGATGCCGAGGACTCCGTGGAGAACTACGAGAAGCGCGGCATGAAGCGGATTGAGGAGAACTCCAGCTACGAGCAGGGCATCCGTGCGCTGGCCTCCATCGATCGCACGAAGCAAATCGATGTGATCACCGAGTACAATCGCATGGGCGACAAGCTGAAGGAGTTCCTCCAGTCCTTTGCAGCTAACAAAAAAGTGGTCACCGAGGACGACATCAAGCGCTTCTTTGCCGGCATGCGAAGCGAGAAGAGCACCGCCGTCAGTCAGCCCTATTTTTGTCGCTAAGCAAATTACCCATAAAGTATTCTATTTATACATACATACATTCCCCAAATGAGTGTACACATGTGGAATTTATTGTACTATCTTAAATTTATGGTCTTTCATTTGTATCATTATTACTATTAGCATGGTAGAACAACAATTCGAATATAAAATGAGATTCGCAAAACAACAGCAACTATGTGTGTGCTAACTATCTATAGAAGTAGCCAAATATCAATATACAACACATATATGTCTCTCTATCTGTATACATGTACATATACGTCTAGACATTATATGCATTGTTGGCTGGATTCTGATTGTTGGCCTGACTGGCCATCTCCAGATTGCAGAGCGTCGCCTGCAGATCCATCATGATGTCGTTTGGATCCATTTGCTCTATCGTCGTGTAGTCCATTAGTGTGCTGCTCATGATTAAATCGCTTAGGGAGGGATTCTCGTCCGGTTGCTGCTGAGGCTGCGCAGGAGTAGGAGCTGGAGGAGGCGGTTGGACCAGCAGCTGAGGAGCCTTGACTGCCTGTGGCGCAGTCATGAAATTTGTTTGATATGCTGCTGGACTTGTGGCACTAAAGACATTATTATTGTTGTTGTTGTTGTTATTGGTGTTGCTGTTGTAGCCATTGTTCAGGTTGGTGGGCGTTATGCTGCCGCCGTTGAACAGCGTTGTCGTGTTCCAGTTGCTGGCGTTGTTGTTCACGCTGATTGTGACATTCAAGTTGTCCTGCTGCTGGTTCAACAGCTGCAGCAACTGATCCTGCTGCTGCTGTTGCTGCTGCTGCTGCTGCTGGCCAGGGGCAAAGCTGTCCGCTGTGCTGCAGCGGGAGCTGGGCGAGGCGGGAAAGTAGCTGTAGTTGTTGTACGAACTGGCCGCCGAGGGGCAGCTGCGTGTGCTGTCCATCTCGTAGAGCAGCTGCTCGGCCTTGATCTCCGGCACGAAGGAGCCGTTGGGACTGGGACTGTTGCCGTTGTAGCTGCCGGTGGGCGTCATCAGGGGCGCTGGCGCTGCTGCCACGATTAGCTGATTGGCTGCTGCAAAGTATTGGAAAAAGTTCATTAGCAGATTGTCAATAACAAGGCGAAAACTTTTCGCTTACAACTGAGTTAATGAGCGCTACAGAAACTAAGCATTTAAATGTGGCCAGCCAAAACAACAATAACAACAACAACAATAATAACAATCAAAATAATTACCAAAGAAAATAACTAAATAAATAACTAAATCAAGCTGTGCCAAAACTTAAAAAGGTCACGTAATAATCACAACAACAACAACAATTTTGGTTGAACTTACACGACCTGATCTGAAGATCTGAATCACATAGTTCTCGTGGGGCTTTTGACTAGCTAAACCTATGTAAAGCTAAACGGAAGGATGGGATAATAGAAAATCTTCGGATACCCGAAGAGTTTGAGGCGATTCTAAATGACTTGTGGAGATTTCTACTAATCAAATATATATAAATATATGGATGTGACTAGGTACATGGAAATTTATTCCGAATGAGACCGTCTTGCATTACGGACCATAAATATCATTAAAATAAGTGAAATTT